GGTTCCAATAGTTTTGTTGCGATAGGCTACAATTAATTTACTATGTAAAGATTGTTAATGTAATGACAGTAAATATTATTATTTAAATAAAGTCTCGCATTTAATGCCCGTTCGCGATAAAAAAAAAAAAAAAAAGATAATAATCTTTAAGTATTTTAAATATTATACATAATTTAAAAATAATAATATTCAAAGTAATTCAAAAATTTACACAAAAATGAATTGATTTATGCTTAAGTATTTAATAAAAAAGTATGTAGAACAAAACTTTACTTTAATTTACTTAAGCCAAAAAACCTTTAAAGTATCATGAAAATTTAGAATTTTTTAAAAATTCATAATTTTCAAAAAAGTTTATATAAGATTTTTGATCTAAATAACTTAAAATAAAATTTTGTTCTATACATTTTTTATATTAAGTACTTAAAAAATCAATCAACTTAATTTTTGTAAAACATTGAAAAATCAATATTTTATTTTATATTATTCCAGAAATTTTTAAATTATTTCATTTTTAAAATTTTCAAAATTTTTTAAAGATCTTCAAGAAATTTGCAAATTTTTTTTTAAAAACAAAGATCTTTAGAGTCTTTTTGCAAAAAATTTTTCTAATATAGTATCTTATATAATTTGAATAAATAATATAATATGGATACTATTAAAAATCGAATGAAAGTTATTATTATTGAAATAAAGTATATTATTTGCTATATTATAAGATTCATAAATATAGTTGATTCTATTGGAACTTATTTTGTTTTTAGAAGATTGATTACTATAAGATAACCTTCAATTTTGTTTATTAATACTATATATTTTTCAATATTTTTATAAATCAACAATAAGACTCTTGTATTTTTTGGATTGTTTGATTTGATACTTGAAATATATTTAAAGTTTTTTGATTTAAAAAGCAAAATATCAATCTTTTTTGAAATTTAATTTTATATAAGCCTAAGATATTAACTTTTCTTTCTAATAGTTTTATTATTAAGTTGATTTGATCTATGTTATATATAATCTCTTTGAAATTGTATATACTTATTGTTATATATAGTATATAAATATTGGAATTGTTGTTTGAGAAATTGTTACTGGAATTATGTAAAAGTCTTTTTGAATTTTTTGAATTAATATTATAGGAATTTATATTTTGATTATTTAGAAATAGTTTTTTTTGTTTATATATGAATATAGTAATGTTAATATTTAGTTATTGATTATGTAATTTTAAGAAAGATTCTAAATTAGAGTTGTTCAAAATATAAATTAACAAGAGAATTAAGATTAGAGTTTTTACTTGCAATAAATTTTTTAATAATTTATTTTTTTCAATATGATTTTGAATTGAACTGATACAATTTTTAAAAAAAAATAGTAGAATTTTCTATTATTTTTGTTTTTTTTATCTTCTAGTCTTATTAATTTAGTACTAATGAATTTTAATATTATTTGAATTGTGTTTTATAAATTTAATGCTTTTTACATATCATATTTAGAGTTTGATTATAACTTGTTTATTTTTATTTTTTTGTTTACTGAGTTAAATTGGTTTAAATTTTTTTTTTTGTAGTTAAGAAGAAACTTGTATCATAAGAATAATTAAATTAACTTTCTTTTCTTAAATTATAGTCTTGAGTTTAAATCTTTGATACTTTATTAATATAATTATATATTTTTATATTATTTTTGATATTTCATTAAACTTTGTATTTAAATAATTTTATATATAATAATAGTGCTTTGTTAAGGTCTTTTTGATATTCAAAGCCTATAATAGTGAAGTTTTTTTTTTTGCCTGTTTTATTATTAAGTGATATATATATTATTTTAACTCTAAGTATTTTATAGCATTTATTATTTATAAGACTAATATTATTTTTTCAATGCCATATAGTCTAGTAGTAATTTTATTATATTTTATAAGAATAACTTGATGATTTTTTAATAGTGCTATTCTAGTTATTAAGTTATCAAGTAAAATTATCCAGATCTTCTTTAAGTTTGTTTCTGTAAATTGAAATAAGAATATGATACTATTGTAATTATTGTTTTCTTTGATAACTTTAATTAAATAATTTTTTTATATTTGTTAAAAATGTTTTGTATTTTGTTAGATAAAATATGTATTAAGATATCTATAAGAATGTTATATAATAAAAATTTATTTATTTTGTATAAATATATTTTTTATAATTTAAAAAAAATATTTATTTAAACACTTTATAAAATAACTTGATAAAATTTTTATAATAATTTTTTAAATAATAATTTTTAAAATTATTTTTAACTTACAAATAAATTAAATAATACATATTTTTTAATAAATTTTATATCTTTTTTTTCTTATATTATAAAGAATATTTGTAAAATTTCATAATATTTAAATATTTATTTATTGAATATAATTAAAAATATTAATTGAAAAAAAAAGGTGTTTTTGTTCCAAACTGTATATTATACTTTAGCTTATAAAAATAATAATAATAAAATATTTAATAAATAATAAAAATATTTCTCTAATAATTAATAAAGTTTCTTTTTATTGATTTTAATTTAATTTAATATTGATTTATATTTTATATTTTACTTAATTTCAGATTTAATTAATCATTTTGTTATATTTTAATTTATTAATTTAAAAAAAAATTTTAATATATCGTAAATAAAAAATCAAAATTAGTTAATTTCATATTTATTAAATGTTTTAAATAACCTATTTCTATTTATAATATCACAACATATCATTTTTTTTAAATTTATCATTAATACTTTTATCTTTATAAACAGCTAAATTTAATTAATTCATCACACAATCATTTAATTAGTTGTTTTTCAAGATCTCATAAATAATAAAGTCATTTAAACTTTGAGAACATGCAGAGCAACATTATGCCTCAATAAGTTTGATTTTATTTGTCATCAAATGGATACTCAAAAGGTTCTGGTGGTGATGCTTCCTTTTCCTCGGTCACCTCAGTAGCTAAAGATTAGATAGAGATAAATATCACAAATATTAAAAAACAACATATACCACTTTAACTTACCAACAGGTGTACTAGGCAAAATGAGCTCCTCAGGTTCCCCTGGTGATTTATCCATCATCATCAAAATTCCACCAACCGCACCCTAAATGAAATGATTTCGTAAAAACCCGTTCTATTTTAAATGCAAAAAAAAATTCACAATAAAATATACTTTTTTAACAGGAACATAACGCGAGTTTTCTGGGAACGAGATGTATTGTAATTGCGCTGGTAGGACGCGTGCCATATTTTCAAGAATTTCATATGCCTCTTCCTTTTTCTTTTTTCCTTTTTTATCATCTTTGATCTCATCCTAAGAGAGAAAAAAAATGATATGTTTTTTATTAATACACGAGGTAAAATACAAATACAGACGTAAAGTCTTAACCTTGTCATCGTCTTTTTTAGCGTGATCCATAGTAACATCCTTTTTATCATCCTAAATCGATAGAATTATAATTTATTATTTGATTCACTCCGAAAAAAAAAAACCATTGAAAATTTTTTAATATTCACCGCAATATCCATGACATCCATGTCTAAAGTTCCTTTTTCTTTTTCTGATTTCTTTGCTCTCGCCTTTGCCTTTGCCGTCGTAGAGAGCACAGCAGTCGCCACCTTATTAATATTGAATAAAAATACTTATTAAAATGAACTTGACCAAATTTAATGTGACATAGTTAACAACTATATACCTTCTCTACAACATTTGTTGTGGGAGGCTTTGTAGTAGCAGGATAAGCAAATAGTGAAGGCTTCGCTTTAGATATGAATTCAAATTTTGGTATCTAAATGTATAATTGAATTAAAATATGCAAATTCAAATTAATGACGAGATTTCTTTAATTTACCTTCAATTCTTTGTTCAGCCCAATAAGTGCGGTAGGCGTAAATGATAAACTGAGAAAGTGAGTCAATGGAAACCAATACCAAAATTGGGTAAATACTGCCATTCCGACAATAGCTGGCATGTTCAAATGACCAGATCTTGATTGCAAAGATATGGTAACATTTCGTCCACCTAATAAATAAATAAATAAAGAACTACGTAAAGAATTACAAAAATATCCTATTCAGCATGCTTTTCGGTTACGAACCTGCGTCAATAATCCCCTGACCAAGAACAGCACCGAATTTGGCCATCGCATCTTCATGTTTGTCATTTATAATTTTTTCATACATTTTGCGGGTTGAGGATACCTTCGATTATTAAAAAATAAGCAAACTCGTATTGCAAGACCTTAATACATTAAATAATTAAATAATAATAATTTTACCTTTTGGTTTGTAACATCATTTTGCTGTATAAGAATCATGGCCAGAGATATAAATGCCCCTTGACGCACGTAATCAACAGGATCTTTAGTCATTGGCTCTAAAAGTTCTATGGCTTCCTAAAAAAAAATTGAAATCCTAGTCAATAAATAATTCATTCCGATTATCTAGCATATAAGAATAAAATTTTTTAAAAAACCAACCATCAACCCAGTTCCTGCACACGAAATACCCAAAGCCAAAGTAGCACCATATCGCACATTTGGATTATAACTTTCCGACAACAATTGAACAATTCGGGGAACCTGTTTAGGTGTTCTAAACAAAATAAATCCGAGCGCCGTAACAGCGGCACGACGCACATCATCATTAACATCACTAACGGCTACGTGTAACAAATGACGTATGGCCTTATTATTTCCAGTGCCACAATAAGCCATAGCGACAGTATAGATCCCACCGTAGCGCAAAATAGGATCCTTATGATGAAAAGAAAATAGCGAAATTGTAAGTACGAGATAAAATGCGTAAGAAACTAAGAAAATCAACATATACCTTGTCATGACTAAGTTGTTCGACCCAATGATCAGCCGCTTCCTCCTTACCATACATAATTAATGATATACCAATAGCCAAACCCCTTATAATTTTTTCATGTTGAGTGTCGTGTGCATAATCAAACATTTGTTTAATCGACTCATTAGAAGCAGTTCCAAGCATAACAAGTCCCATGGCTAATCCAGCAGCCTCCCCGGCCACAGCGCTATTGTTGTGAAGTACAATTTTAAGTTCCTCATATATTTCTTATAGAGGTTAAGAGTGTATTTAGTATATTGAACAATGAACAACATCAATTAAGCACAACTAAAATACCTTCATTTCCTGTAGCCATTGCCGCCGTTGCAAGGCCAAGACACGCTCCATGCTGTAGCACATCGTTTTCAGCACTTTTTAGAGCATTCTTTAGAGCATTTCTCAAATATTCCAATACACCAGCACCGTGATTTGCATGAATCAACCCTAAGGCAAATAGTGATCCACCTTCTGAATAAGGGCTCCCGTTGTTACCTTCTTGTGGCAAATATGGTTGCAATAGAGTAAGCCCCTGAGATAAATGACCCTACAAAATAAAAAAAAAAAAAGGTAAATTTGGGAAGATACAAAAATATCGTTTCCAACATTTTTCGCACAATAATAACCTTGTGTATAACACCAAGAGCCGCCGTTGCACTAAATTTTGACCAATTTGTCGCACGTGATAACCACTCAAGATTTTGTCGCAGGAAATCATCACTCGTTGTGCCAGCGTGCATAAATGCATTAGCAAATGTGACCGCCGAATGATAAACCGAGTTTCGGGACTCTAATGCATTCTATAGACCAACCAACTCAAATTATATATCAAAAAAATATTGGATTCAATATAGTTAAATATGTATCGCACCTTTGTGTTCTTTAATATAAGCAAATCGGTGTGATTGTTACGATATAAGAATTCCAAGTGCAATTTAATTGATTCTTCTCCTGAAAGTATACTGCGAATCCGAATGTATTTTTCATCTGGTAAATTTCCCAACTTAATTCATGCGAGATCCATATAATAAACATTAGAATAAGATCAAAGAAAGACGTTAGGTTTTTATACCATATACACTTACCTCTGCTTCGTCAGTTTCCATCGCTTCAGCATCCCGTTTTTCATTTTGGGTTAGTGACGATGTAACAGGCAGTTCGCTTACAACCTTTTGGAGAAATTCTTGAGTAGCATTCTCCTCAAGATCGAACGCAATTTGATATGCCATTAATAAATAAAACTGTAATTTTAAATAAAAAATCTTAGTCAGATTTCTATTGTATCCGAATGAAAAAATAAATATATGAAAAATCGTCACCTCGTCACCTTTATTTACTAAGTCTTGTAACATTTTGGATGCTGAAATAGGGTCATTAAGGTGTACAAAACATTGACTAATCGAAACATAGTCGGGTTCCTCAAGGTTTTGATATAATTTGACCAACAACCGTAAAACCTATTAAAAAATAGAAGGCGCGAATGTAAATGAGGATAACTTTAATGAAGATAGGTTTTAACGAAAAGATTGCTGTACCTTATTTCGGAAATCCAAATTAAGTACTAATGTCATGCTTACTTCCAAGACATAAGACAAAAGTTCGGAAGCTTGACCTTTAGATATTATTTGTTCAATAACGTCTAAGCGGCGAGCTTCCAAGGCAATGCCAATCGCCTTATCAATTAAATTAATTAGACACAAAGGTTAATATTAGTATTCTGCCAGTAGCAGGTATATGAAATTTTTGAATTTACTTGTTTAAACTCTCCATCATCATAACAGCGCTTAAACATTCGTTCAACAACATCTTGCAAACGAGAGTCTATTTCCTGTCCACTTGAACCACTTTCAAATTGCTGGACACGTAGAGCAATGTACTTATCAATACACTTGGCTAAAGGCAACGACATTTTTATTAGCAATGTTGGGCATTACATAGCGTAAAGCTTTCTATAACCTCAACATTTGTAACGTGTAATAAATAAACCTACATATAATAGTCTCGACATATTCAGATTTAGATGACGCGTCAAATAAGTCACCGGCACCCAGCGCAAAAGTTAGCGAGTCGTCAAATTCTCCAAGATGATAATAAACCTTAATTAAACAACGTGATTAACGATCAATTTTGATTTTACGTTATTATCCTCCGAATGACTTACCTTCGAGGCCACGAGAGCGGATAGCTGTCTTTGAGGAAAGTGTTCATTTTCATAAAGAATTTCGCTATGCAAGACAAGAAAGGGAGATCCCAAGAGAGTAAGCCCTCGTGCCGTCAATTTGAGGAAGCATGCTAACACCAAATGCTCTTTTTTTCAACGATTACGCGATTGGATCCTTGAAGTTTTTAATTCCCATATTTTCTATAGTTAAAAATCATACTCACATTTTAGAAACTGCATCCGAGATCTCTGCCCAAAACTGATCGACAAGTATGTTTAATTTTTCTAGTGCATATATCTTTAGCTGTTCTTCTGGCTCATCGAGCAAGGCAATTATACCACCTTTCGATAAAAATATAATTAGTAAGGAGATAAGAGGGTCGAATATTTTGATTCGACATACCTGCCGAAGTTAATGCAGTCATTATTCTCTTAAGATAATTTCTAAACTAAAAGAATTTAAAGATTGAAAAAATCCGTTACGTAAAATTCAATTACGCAACTAGGCTTACGTATCAATGTAACACAAAAAGATTTATTATAACCCGAGATGGTTGGAGATCAGAAAAATACTATTTTCTTAATAGAATACAGACAAGGCGACCTTTATATCTTACCATAGGACGATTTAGACTTCGATACGCGTCATAAAGATTCCCTTCTATAATTCACTGTCAACAGAACGTGTTTACAATGCTAATTAGTTAAAGCCAGATAAGTTATTATCAATACAAAAATATCGTGACAATCGAGTTATAATTAGAACAGTTAAAACGGATTATTAGTTCTCGTGAGGAATAAATGTAACATATATATTTAGTAAAACGAAGCCTAACCTTGGGAGGCAATAAGGTTACCTAATATTTCCTAATTTTAACGTAACCTAATTTTTCCTAATTTTAACGTATAGCGTTTTAGCATCAGAATACAAACAGGACTCAAATTTTAGCGAAGATACTAAGTCTAGGGGAGTTTGGGAAGCTCGTAGTAATCACAGTAAAATATGAAGAGGGTAGAGAACACTGGCAATAATGAATTTAGAGATAATGTGAAATTAAAATATAATTTTTTATTAAAAATTATTATGTTATAGAAGTGCAGAGTTAAAAGAAGGCATACACTGTATATAGTAGAGTTTTGGTCTATAGTTTCGATCATGAATCGAGTTATGATTATATAAACGATAATTTATTTTAAAACTTTCGATTGTCTTAGTAACTCGGGCTTTTATTGATTTTTCTCGTTACAACATCCTTGTTACACGTGATTCCTAAATAGTAGTCTTCTAATGAAGAGTGTTAATTTCTAGATGAAAGATACACGTATATTGCATAAGAGATCCATATATACACCACTCGTTATTTGAAACTCCCTTTAGAGAAACCATTTATTCTTTACGTCATATAGCCGATAAAGTGCAATAGCCACTTATATTGCGGCATTAGATTTTCATGAACATCTACTGTTGATGCCGTGCATATGTCCTTTTCACAGGTAATGTTAAATTCCATAAGTGCTGATTTTTTGTGTTTCTTATTACATATCCTAATCACCACACACCTCTTTAAATCTTACCCGACTTGCGATCTTGATCTTATTGGGCAATCATTGATAATTTGATATTGTGCACAATTTTGATTTACATCATAACCGAAGATAGTCCAGATCTAAAACCTTATCATGAACCACTTCTGACAGTAAAATTCCCTCCAAATATTGTGGTGTCGCATTTAAAAATTTCTTTCAATCCAACATTTCATTTTTGCTTTGTAAAACAGATAATAAAATAGATTTTACCTGATAATAATTTACCAACTTATGTTCGCCACTTAATATTAGAGTAACTCGTTAATAATGTGTTGATTTTTATTTAATGATATAGCATATTCATGAGAGAAGGAAACCAATACTTTATTAATTTAAATAATGTATACTTAGTAAAGGTTATAAATAATTACCCGATAACCTTTTTAAGCACACATAACTATAAATTAATAAAGAATCTATTAACTTATTTTACGAATATACATGCATAACTGATTCCTCCTTTTATGAATTCGTCAATGACAAAGTAAGGGCACCCGAATCTTGTGCGCCGGAGCGGGTACCGGTGTTGAGAAGCAGTAAGAGGCTCAGAGCCAAAATACACCTACGTGGTTTGCTTAGGTGTTGTCCCCTTTTGCAAAATAAGAAACGATCTTTTTATCAAATAGCTTGAAAAAACGGTTATACCAAGCATTGTCAGGGTCACACGAGTTTTTCGAAACTTTAGTGCAATAATGACGTCACTATTTTCGTTCAAATAAGAAAAAATTTACAAGCTGAACTAGTCAGAAAATCATTATTGCGCTGATCTACAAATCACGGACGTATTTGTACGCGCATAATACGTAAGTCGCGATTAATAAGATTTTTTATATTATATATTTCTTTATAAAGAATAATTTCTTTTTTTTTATTAATCAAAACCAGTTTTAAATAACAAATTAAAGTAAAATTTTAAAAAAAGAAATAATTTTTTTTTTTTTTTTTTTTAGAGGCGAAGCGCATTACATGCGATAGTTTTTTATTAACTTTTTTTTTTATGAAACGAAGTTACAACCATTACATGAAGAATCTGATTAACTATTTCTAGCTATTTAAAAAAAGAAATAATTTTTTTAATCAAATAATGTTTTTATATACTAAAAATACAATCTATACATATACATATATACTAATTATTTTTAAAAAAAGTTTATTTAATAATTTTACCATAATATGATTTTTCAAAGAAATATTTAACACTGTATATAATATTTAATAATAATATAACATAATTATTAAAAAGTTTTAAAATAATTTTTGCCTCATATTTAAAAAAATCAAGCAGTATATGGCTTTTTTTAATATAAAAATAATGATATTAATATCAATTACATTTTAATTGTAATTTAAATAATATCAAAAAAAGTTTGATTATTTATAATATTAAAAATTTAAATATATTGTATAACTCTATTATTAAAGAGTTTAAGCATAAATTTCAATGATATTTTTATTTCGTTATTCAAGATACATTTATTTGAAAAGTATGCATTTTCTGGGATAAAATTTAATATACTGTATGTTACCCAAAAAAGATATTCTTACGAGTGTCATTAAAAGGGAAAGAAATTCCGTTAATTCGGATGGCCGATCTTTTTTTACTTTTCTATTTCTCTTTCTGAAACGTGGTTACAGACGTAAAATTCGATCCTATGTATTTCCTTATATTCGTAAAAATGTTCCCAAAAAGTAAAATTTGTAATATATTTAAACAAAGTATCTGATTAACCTGATATAAATAAAATTTATACTTATTGTATATAATATATCGAAAAAAATTTAAGCTATTAATTCTAACTAGATATGATATAGTAAATTCATTATGTGGCATATGTTCAAGTGTCCGTGAATCGCATTTACAGACAGCACTCATTTTATCGTATCTACGTTAACTCAATTAAGCATATCGACGTTGATTTTGATCTTTGGATATGAATTCTTGGATGGTTTGTCAAAGTTTCCTTATTTAAACCCAGAAAGAAATCTTTTGTGGTCATCGGATTATGTTGAGAAATTGGTATAAACTTAGTTTTCTTCATCCATGTTACGTTTCTTTCCTATGTTAAGGGAAAATGTCATATGTTCGAAAGAGCAATGAGATAGATGTTGAAATAATCGAATGCGCTCCAAGTAATGAGGGCAACGAAACGGTGTTTCCTATAATTGAAGGAGCCAAGTGGCAACTTGCATGGGAAGCCAAAAGAAATAAAATCCTTCAACCTTTGATGGCCGAAAGTGTTGCCTCCTTCCTCTTTTGTATTTTCGGCGGTGCTGCTAATTTATTGTTTGTAATATTTTTCTATCGTGCATTGAGTTTCTGTTGAATCAAAAACACTGATTATGTCTCGTGGATTATATTCAGTGTTGCTACAACTTCATTGACACTATCTCAAGATCCTGGAAGCAGTATACCTGGACGCTTTAATGTTGCGTTGTCTTTTGCTTTCGGCACTATGTTTGCCCTCTTTTTTGCTGTTCCGATTTCTGGCGGTCATATTGCTCCAAATTTCACGCTTGTTCTTGCCACTTTCCGAAAATTCTCGTGGAAGTTAGGTAATTGGTCAGAATCGGATTTTTGAATAATTCTGTCATTCATTTTTTAATTTGATTCATATTCTATAGTTCCATTCTACATACTCGCGCAAATAGTTGGCGCGTTTCTTTCTACCGGGATAATTTATCTTTGTTACTATTCTACAATTCATCATTTTACTGGAGGCACAGATGGTCCCGTCAAGTTCGCTGCACTATACGTAACTCAACCAAATAATTATGTTAACACTGGCTACATAATATGGTACGTTTTGTTTAATTTCTTAATAAGGAATTACAACTTTTACCAAACTTTGTGAATTTGTTCTAGGGTCGAATTTATTTCTACCGCTGTTCTCACCTTAATCGTCTTCAACCTGACCGACGCCAATAACAAATATATTGTTTCCAGCCCGATGATAATTCCACCACTAATAGGCTTAATGATCTTCCTGATAATTATGGGCGTTGGATACCAAGGGGTTTCGATAAGTCCGGCTCGGTAGGTGGTTTAATTCCTTTTGTTAAATGGCAATAACAATTTTCTTTAACTTTCAAATGTTACCTAGTGATCTCGGCGCTCGATTATTCCTACAGATAATTTACGGCTCCGAAATATGGTCGTTAAATCATAAATATTTTTGGATTGCTACGGTCATTCCATGTGTTGGTTCGATCGTCGGCGCAGGTTTTTATGATATTTTCTTTTACGATCACGGAAAACCAAAAAAATTACAATAGCCACATTGTATTTAATCTGTTAATCAGTCAATTTAAATAAACTTAATATATATATATATTTAAAGAAAATGTTAGTAATGAGCTATAATTATATTTTTATTTATAATTCTATAACTAATTAACAAATAAGATAAAAATATAAATATTTTAAGATATAAAAAATAAAATTATATAAAAACTTTTTTTAAAATATATTAAAAATAATATTATCAAATTATTAGTAAAAATTACATTTTACATTAATTACAAAAATTTTTTTTTTAATAAGCATCAATTATCAAAATTGTTTTAATATATAAGTTGATTAAGTATACTGTAGATCCATAAAACTTAAAAAATAATTTTTTATAATTTTTTGATTTTTTTTTTGAATAACATTTTATATGGTGAATGTGAAACTATTTACTTTTTGATAAAATTTGCAAATATTATTATATTATAAAAAGAACATTAATATTTTATTAATAATTAATTAATAATGATTTTATAAAAAGATATTAATGAAAAATCAAAAATGTATAAAAATTTTTTTAATAAAAATTAGAATATCAATGATAATTTAAAAATTATATTTTTATTTTAAAAAACTTACTTAAAAAATTACTGTTATGTTATTAAAACAAACTTTTAATAAATATTCATAAATTCTTAAAATAATATATACATTTTTTTAAATAATAAATTTTATTATCAAAAAATTTATTGATATTATCAAAATATTATTTAAGCTATAAATTATTTAGAAAAAAAAAAATTATTTGAATTGATATTTAATCAATTTATATATTAAATAATTTTCATATAATAATTGATTGTCATTATTTTTCTGTAATTAATGTAAAATTGGATTTTTATAATTGTCATCTTTTTTTAAAAAAAAAATTATAATTTAATTGTTTTTTAAAAATATTTTATATTATTTTATTATTTTATATCTTCAATACTGTATATAAAATATATATTTATACAGTATTTAAAGCAAATTTTAATTTTTTTTGGGGGAATCAGACTGTATATAACATGTGTACTTACCGAAAATTTGGTGACAACTGAAAACTTAAATGTATCGAATAAAACCAGATATAATTTATATTGTAATATATACTGTAGTATATATACAGTATATTGTTGATAGTCTGTAATTTCAGTGATTATTGATTAAAAAATGCATCAAAATAAATACGCGTTGTTATTTTAAGTGAGAACTTTCTTATGGTTAAACGTCGGTTTCTAAGCTTT